AATATTCTTGCCCTCCAACATAATCATTTACACAATGAAGCATAAAATAATGGCTTTCAAAATATCAAGATTCCGAATTTCCTCATCATCAAGGAATCTGATAACATTAATCGATACATTTCTTAAAACGAAACTTATTCTAGTCACAAAAGGATATAAAGCTATGATGGCCAACGCAAGCAAAATATCCGGAAACATATCAGAAACATTTTCTGACAGCTGTATATGCACAAATCTTAAACAGTAGCAGCTACTATATCGTTGCATCAGTAAATTGGACAGGAACCAAGCTAAGATCAACCAAGGTGGTTACAATTCCTCTTGAGAAGGATATGTAAACAGATCTTCCACAAGAGGAATAGTGAAATTCATTTTTTAACAGCACTACAAACACCTCTATAGGCAATTTGTTGAATGCAATGGAAGGTCCACACTTATCAACCGTGTACTCATAACAACCTCGTAACTGTTTCACAGAAGCTGGTAACTATAACTAGTCCAAGTTCAAAGCACGTCGTATCAAGTCCACAACATGCCGTACCACGTACTTAAGGTTGGTTCTACCTGCAAACAGAAAAGAGGTACCTAAGCAGCAGAAAATTGTCCATTAACATGTAGTGCATGGTTACATAGGAATAGTGAAGAAGGGAAGACAAGAACAATAGTGGTCACAGGATGAAGGAACAGGAAGGTGCAATTATTGAGAGAGAGAGAGAGAGAAGGGAAGGGGGTGTACCACATGAATCATTTGGCAGAAGAAATGCGCCGCAGAGAAGAAATCCAACTACTCGAAGGACCAGCATCATCATGCTTTCCGTGATTAACATTTGTGGTTTCAGAAGATTCTATAGGTTTTGATGCATTCCCTTTTGACATGCCAGCAGGAGAGAATGAAGTAGATTGCATGTGTGCATTGTTCATTGTCTGCAAAAACGAGTACATTTAAGCATCCAATTGAACTGAAAGAAACTACAAAGAAATGATTTCTACTAACAACAAATTAATATAATGTAGATAACATAATTCAGACGGCCTTCAACAGGCGCACTGTTTATCTTACAAGAAAAGAAGTGTAACAAATATGCACAGGAAATTTTTTTCTTCACTTTCTCATTATAATCAAAACAAGATGCCATACATTTCTATCAAGATGATTCCCAGGAGCCACATTTCGATTTGACGGTGATTTAAATTTCATGCTGAAACCAGCAGTAGTATCATTCTTTAATTTCATACGTTCAGTCAACTCAGCCGAGTAAGAAGCATTATTGCCTGCAGACATCAAATAGATGATAAGTGACACATGTAGTTTCTTTCAGATGTATAAACAGAAAAAAATGATCTAGATTTCTGACTAGTCGTATACCTTTCTTCAAATTTTATCTAATCTTTATTATCCAATTCTAACGTTTCTTGTAATATGCTTAGTGATCTTTTGGGTTCACTTTTCAACCTAGGCCATAACCATGACTGAACAACATTACCAAACAATTTGGTCTCCAACATTTAAGTACAGACCCCATTAGATACAACAAATAGTTGCATAATTTCTCAATATGACACCTAGTTCTCCTGAATGCAGAAGATATATTTTCTGTTAGCTTTACTTGTGTGGTTAGGTGAAACTCACTAAAAAATACAGACCTTGACGTTTTTCCACATCCACTGGAACTGCAGGACTCTTCTCTCCAGGAATAGCCTGCAAAATATTTACATTTTAAAGTTGTAAGAAAGATGGCTACAAATGCGCCAGTTTAATAAAAACTGAAGAGAATTACAGTTTAAGTTCTGCAAGTGCTAGCTCATTGTCACGGACTGCATGGTAGTGACATGAGATAGGGCATGACACGGGAATGTCATGGCACCAAGTGGG